GAGAGAGAGAGAGAGAGAGAGAGAGAGAGAGACGAACCCAAGTGTTGGCGTAGAGATCTGGAGTGATCTTAAGAGTGTCTAAATAGGAGCAGAGCTCCGGCTCGTGATATTGAAGTAGTAATCGTAACAAATTAAATGACTGGTCGTTGCGGCCATAATCGCGACAATTATAGCATTTGGGAATGTATTTCAATTGAATCGATTCAAACACTTTGAACAGGTCTTCGGTCTTCAGCTTCAGCGTCAACAGCGGCTCCAATATCTCTGTCCATCCGTTGTCACTGACGTACTGAACGTCATTCAGTTTGGAAAAGTTGGTGATAATGGTCTCCATTCCCGACCGAATGGCCACCCGTTCCGAGTCGTCAGAGTTGGCGAACTGGTCCACAATCTTCTGACAGTCCGCCCGAATCACCGACTGTTCCGGCAAATCAAAGATGTCGGACAACACTTTGTGGCGGCCTTTGATTCCCAGACATACCTGTCGTTCAGCAAAGAGGGAGAGAATGAGTGAGTGATTGAGTGCTGGTATGAGATAATAGTGAGGGTGGAGGGGGTGTGGGTATGGGATGTGTTGGTGAGGGCGGAGGTGATGGTGTGGTGTGGGATGTGATGGCCATACCATACCTGCCAGAACTCGTAGCGCATATGGTGTGGAACCAACTTCTGGTTCGTAATCCTCTTAATGATGTTGAGGTCGCAGTCGGCCAATAGCGCCGACTCTAACTCCAGGATCCTATACGAAGAGAGATTGTCACTAAACTGATCCATAGCTACAAATCACAACCAAATGCTTACCATCCGTTGTCCTCTTCGTCGGTGGTGTTGGTGTCGATGACGACAGAGCGCTGGCCATCGGTTCCGTTGCTCAGCGGGTTGTCCTCCGAGTCGGACATAATTGACAATCAAATGAGTGGTAAGTGTTTTGGTGACACACGTGTTGTGTTGTGTCCGCCGATTGTCTCAATGATTAGGCCTTTAATTGACACCAAATATTGAAATGCATTACAAATCACAACAAAATTGATTGAAATATTTCTTCCACTCATTCACTGCTTATGTTTACGATTACGTTATGAAACACTGATTCAAGCGTACAGTTGGGCTCACATTGTTATACCCCTATAATATGGGTTCTCTATGTATTGTGTCTACAAATAATTGGCGCAAAATCTGTGTTTGCCATACAATTGCATTGATGTATAAAAATAAGCGCTTATTTCGAAATATTATCAAAAGTTTGAGAAAAGTTTGTAAACTTTGAATAACTTTTTTACAATAGTTTGAAATCAATTGATGTTGAGATCAGTTGTGATAAGAAATCAACGAAAATACTAATCAATGTTTTTGTCACAAATGAAAACATTAATTGATTTATAAATTATAGGGACTTTAGTTGTAACTGAATTGAAATTAATTGTCCGAAACATAAGGCATTATCAATAAAAATGAAATACAGTATAAATATACAGTAAAATTGACACCAAATTGTTGTTTAATTCACAATTTTTGCCACAATTATTAAAACGAGACAATAATTGTTGAGAGCATTGAATGCGAGACTCATTTGTTAAACATTTCTAAATCAACACAAAAACAGTTATAAAACAAATTCAAGTCTTTATTAGAGAAAAGTCTTCAAAACCGTTGAAAAACTTTACATTCAATCCTTAGCTCCAGAATATGATGTCGAAGAATATTCTTCACTTGATTTCGATCGCCATCTTGTGTTCCAATGGAATCGTCGATAGCGTAGCGATGAGACGAGTCTGGTCGGCGGCCGAAGACTCCAATTGTCCCACTCTTTACTCAAACCTCCGGCCAATCACTGCCATCGCTTCCATCGACGGATCGCCGCAACTGTTGCTAATTAGCGGCGAATGCGCTTACTTTGTGGACTACCCGACCCGTGACGGCATTGATCAACGGCGACACGGCTTCAGACATCTTATGGCACTTCAAGACATTCAGGACCTCTTTGTCATCGCAAACAACACTAACATCGAGTTCGTCAGTCTTCACGTGAGTGTCCATCACTTTCAATGAGTGGTGAGTAATGTCTGTTTCTCTGTTCCCATTGAAGGCCAGCGGAACACTTGTGCAGATCATCGGTTCCAACACAACGAATGCCACTGAAGACACGATATTGTCAAACGTGTTCAAAGGCCTGACCGCAGACCTGGATCTGCCGATCGACGCGGCCTTTGTCTGGACCTCCAAACGCATCGCTTATATAATCCAGGGTTTGATGAATGAAATGGTGTTTAAAATCACTTAATTGTTGACTCGTTTAACAATAGGTTCGAAGTATTGGGCGTTTGAGTTGAGCGACGGCTGGAGGAGAGGCAGCCGAGCGCTGGCCGACAACTATCCGCGAAGTATCGCCGACTTTGGTCTCACAGACGGCCATAAGATTACGACCGCTTTCAGCGATTCGACAAAAATCTACTTCGTTTCCATGGATTTGGTTCATGAGTTTCACGTCTCGGACGTCAACCCAAAGGTTTGGTCACTATTTTTCAAACATTCATTTCATTAATTATTTAAAACTTTGTTTCGAAAGACGGGACGCTTTGTGGGCAGTCTTTGCCAGAAGACAATCAAACTGAAAGACTTCCTCAAGTGCTCCAAAGAGGACACCAAAAGCCAGAAGAAGTCGTTGAATTGGTTCTCGAGCTTCGGTCGCCTGATGTCGGATATGACGGACTGGATGTCGGCTATGGCGGACTGGATGTTCACTTTTGCCACGCCATCGGCGATCGTAGCCCTGATTGTCATCGTTATAGGGCTGTCACTGTTGGTTCTGACACTGGTATATCCGCTAAATGGTAACGTTGTAACTTGTAAGGGCAACACCGGCACTATTTTAAACGGAAGCAATGTGGTCATGTATTATTGATAAAAATGGGTTTTCCAAACAAAATACATTTAATTTGTTAGGCGTTCAAAATTATCATATATTTTAATTGATTTTCTCATGTATTTTGTAATTGAATTTATTTTTTGTAAATACCTTAAGAGATATCAAAATTTGTAACTTTTTAAAGCCTAGAATTCAAATAAATTTCCATTCATTTCCTGAATAAAAATAGTTTAAAAATACATTAAAAGTTATAGAAATGTGTTGTAAACAAGAGATCACTTTTACCATAAGACATGACCACCAAAACGAGTTGATAATCANTACCTTAAGAGATATCAAAATTTGTAACTTTTTAAAGCCTAGAATTCAAATAAATTTCCATTCATTTCCTGAATAAAAATAGTTTAAAAATACATTAAAAGTTATAGAAATGTGTTGTAAACAAGAGATCACTTTTACCATAAGACATGACCACCAAAACGAGTTGATAATCACTGATTATTAATCAGTAACAAAACAATTAACTAAAAAATAAATAACAAAATACAGAAGTCATAAGAAAAATCATATTTATTACAAAATAGATGATAAAATTGGTTGACTTTAATCATTGCAAATGAATTTTAAAATTAAAAAAGATTCAAATCATGTTTTGAGAGAAAGTATTCATAAAAATCATGTTTAACTTATAATTTAGTGGACAAATGTTGTGACAATTATTTTATAATTAATTTTAAATCAATTCACAATTTAAATAAGTAAATACACGATCGGAGAGTATGTGAGAAATTAAAGTAATTTGCAATATATGTGTGATTTTATAATTAAATTGTTTTAAACCAAATCAATGATAACAGGAATTCGGAGCCAATGATTAGCGCAATAAACAAAACATCACTTAAAATGCGATCATTTCTTGTAATATAAAGTGATTGATATAATGAGAGATCGGAGACAACTATCAGCTAATGATTGAATGCATTGTCGAAACAGTTCTTATGTGAAGTGAAGGTCTGACTGATAGAAATCGATCACAAGCTTCGGATTGCTATGAAATGAGAAATTGTTTTGCAATGAAATACAATTTTCTGGTAAATTTAGTCACAAATCGTGAGGTTTTACTTAAATAATAATTGTTTCCCAATAAATACATTCCAATAAACATTTTGTGTTCAATTCAATCATTTATTTATATATTTTTTAATAATTATTAATTAATCACAAATTTTTTTCGATTTTTTATTTATAGTTAATCAATTTGTAAAAGTTATTTAATATACAATTTAAGTTTTACACAAATGTCAAATACACATAAATTATTTACTGTTTTGTTAACTAAACTATTAATTTTGTTAATTACCATAAAATAGTTATGTTTTGACTTTTATAAGTGAAGTGAAGGCACAATAATTATGACTGAATTAATTAATTACAATATAAAGTATTATTTGTGAACTTATTTGTATTATAAATGTGAACAAAAAATAGATTAATAACTTATGCTAATATTTATGCCTATTATTATTATTATAGTTATATAAAAGTCAATATTCAATATATATTTTTATGTGATTATGTAGTAATAGTTAATGAGATAAAACATTTGTGTAATTAATTGTATTATATTTGTATTATTTAAGTAACAAATTGTTTATAAATGTGCAAAAATTAGTAAACAATTACTTTCTATTTATTAATATATCGTAAATTTATATTTTTTTTAAAATCACACTTCAATTTAGATACCATTGATTGGCATAACTTTGAATATGAATGCACTTTAAAGTACGGGGTATTCGCCGGGCGGCAGGACATGGCTTCGGCATATCGGACACGTGCCGTCACTTCGCGCCCAACTTGTGATACACTAAAACATAGGTAAATAAAATAGTTAGCAATTAAATCAAAGTCGGTATCAATTATCGACAAATTTACCTCTGAGTGAAACAAATGGTGACATTCAGTCTCATATCTATTGGCCATAAACATGGGTTCCATACATATAGAACACATCACCTCATCATTAGCGGCCATTTTATGCGACACTTGAGTCCAGCCTTTCATCTCATAAGACGGGGCTTTTTGTCCGCCATTCAGAGCGTCCGTCAAGTTGTCGGTCATTAACTTGAGAGCAGGAATCGTACCATTCGGACGAGTCTTTGCCTACGATTATAATCCACAACACAATCATTGGATTGCAATTCAACGATTCTTTTGTAGCTAATTAATTTTGGTGAGTGTTTTCTTAAGTAATTTTGATGTAAAGACAGCTATATTAGTGATTAAAACGATTAATAGAGACTCTAGAAGTAAGGTCACTTGGGAAAGCCTACTGACCCGGTTGTGATCAATTGATTCTTCGTTTGTGACATACTGTCCACCAGAATATCACTGCAAATAGATTTAGAATTTAATAAAATTTAGAAATTAATAACAATTAATAATAAATATTAATTAATAATTACTAACTCTGATAGTTGTGTATATTTTTCCTTAAGTTTGGCCAACAGTTTGCTCTGCGCCTGATTTAGAGGCGCTTTCGGTTCAGGTCTGGACGGAGAGGCTGTTGGCTCGGAGACGGGCGCAGCGATGTTGGCCTTCGCTTTGAGTCCAAATCGGGGCGCAGTCCTCGGCTGACGAAACACATCCGCGTTGTTCTGTTCGGCAGTGTTTTGGACACTCTTTTTGAGAAAAGGTTCGCCGATTGCCGACATCTCTTTGCCATTTGATGATTGAATGCCATTCATTCGCGAACATGTGTTGAGCAAAGTGTCCGCCGATGTGTTCGGCAATTGACTATATATTGGTATCGGCGATGGGTTTCGCGGGAATGTCAGCTCCA